AACGTGGTTACATAATTAGTTAACACATCAGATTGTAGTTGCAATTGCTGTGGAAAATAACAACCAAGTCTGGGGGCTGAACAAAACAGGATTTCATAAGGGGACAGGGAGTGTTCTCCCCTTGGTGTGTATCTGACACTGAATAGGGCAATGGGCAGACTGTCCGACCAACTCATACCAGCCTCTTGGGCCATTTTTAGCATTCTGGCCTTCAAAGTGCCGTTCATCTTTTCTACTTTCCCACTAGTCTGCGGATGGTAGGGGGTGTGGAAGGCTAATGTGACCCCTAGACCTGTCCATACCTCTTTAGTTACTGAGGCCGTGATCACTATCTATCACTCCTACACACTACTTCAGTTAAAAGTTTCTTTGCCGTGGCCTTGGCAGTCATGTTGGTTACTGCATAAGTTTCTGGCCAACCAGAGAACATATCCACAACCACTAGGGCATACTCAAACCGCCCACTCTTTTTCATTTGGATGTGGTCAATTTGTATTCTCTGGGAGGGGTACAGGGATTTTGCAAGATGCTTCTGTGGTGTCTTCTCTGCGCGTCCTGGGTTGCACTTGGCACAGATAGCACATGTTTTGCAAAAGTTGTTTGTCAATGTGGTGATCCCAGGTGCTGTTTAGTACTTGTTGATGAGGGAGTTCATAAGGTTCTTCGACAGGTGGGCTGCTCCATGTGCCCACTGGACCACTGCTGGATACAGACTTCTGGGTAGGCAAAAACTTCTTGTTGCACTCAAGCAATCCATCCTTTAGAATTGCTCCCTTCTTCTTCCAGGCTTCTTTTTCCTCTGGGCTTGCAGTTCCTTGAAGTTCCTTCAAGTGGTCTTTGTTTGCTGGTAGGGTCTGTAGATTCAGAACTGTAGTAGAATCTTCACCTGGTACCATCTCTCCTTCCACTTCACGTGTGCCACTTGCTGCTTGTTTGGCCGCTGTAGTTATTCCAGGGGCCCAGTAGTACTTGCTGATGAGTGAATTCATCAAGTTCTTTGACAGGTGTCCACTTCCATGGGCCCATTGCACCACTGCTGGGTACATGTACTTGGGTAAACAGACTTTCCCTCTCACTTTGTACAGTTCATTCTCGTAGACTGCTCCTTTGTTACCCCAGCTCAGTCTCTCTTCTGTATGTACTCCTTTCTGCATTGAGATTAGGTAGGCCTTATCTGTTGGTATATGGATGGTCAGGACTTTTTCTGCTACTTCTTCATCCACTTTCAGCTGTTTCCTTGCAGCTTGTTTTGCTGCCGTGTCCGCGAGGTGATTGCCTCTGGCTTCTTCGGAATCTAGCCACGGGCTTCTTCGGAATTCCTTGATGGCTGGCCCATGTTTCACCGGTGTTCCAGCGGCCGTTAGGAAACCTCGCATCTTCCAGATGATTCCAAAGTCATGTACATTTGTATGTGTGTACGCGGGGGTGTGGTACTTTAAATAAATGTTTTTTGTGTTTTTTTAAAAAACGTTTTGTGACTAATTTTTAAACTTTTTTTTTACACTTAGGGGACTAACAAGCCCCCTGTGTTATAGTAAAGTGGATGTGACAGGTCCTCTTTATGGAGACATCAGGAGTCTATTAGACCCCTAATGTCACCTAGGGTCCCCCAAAGAAGCTGATGAAGCAGAGATTTGCTTCACCAGCTCCTTCTCCGGCTATAGAGAGATCATTAAAGTGTGCTGATCTCCCCACTGATCTAGCCACAGCGACCCGCCTGCACGGGGGACAGCGGAGCCTAGGATAGCCAACAGCGGTGGCGGAGGGAGGGGGCGAACACTTCCCATACAAGTGATCGTGCAGCCATAGGGCTTGTGTATATCAAAG